TGGATGGGAAAAATCCGTGTTTACCGGGTTCGAGTTCGGGTTCGGATTCGGATTCGAGTTTTTCCCAATTGATAAAATTGAGGGCCGCTTAATAATATATTAAAAAAATTATTTATAAATATATATAAAGTAAAATTAAAAATATTTATGTGTAAAAATTTGTATTATCTTACTTTTATTTTATTTTATTTTTAAATTTTTTCATATTTATTAGAAATAAATAAAAATAAAAAGGTAGGAGCGGGAGCGGGAAAATCCAAACCCCGCCGGGGATGGGAATGAATACCCAGATTTTACCCCTAGTGGATATTGGGGGCGGGGGCAGGGCAGGGAACATAAAACCCGCCCCACTCCGCCCTATTGTCATGCCTACATGTAAGGATTATGTATTAATATATATGATATTTATATTAATGCAATTATTGATATATATTTAAATTGGTCATTTACAATTATGTTATGTAAAGTGTGATCAAAGGTTATAATTCACAAAATTTTCAAATTTTTAGGGCAAAATTTGCAAAATAATTATTTAGGGGCAAAATTTATAATAAAATGAAAGCTTTGGAGCACAACCTGAAATTAATTTTGATGCTTACCTCAACATTGTTTTGTATTTTAACAAAATATTGAGGAAGGAATACAAATTATACAATTTACAACATTTTCAAAATTTGGGGGCAAAATCTAAAAAAAAAATTATTTGAGATAAATTTTGCTACAATGTGAAAATTTAGAGACATAATTTCATAAGCCAAGACCAAACTTTAAAAACTTTTTCGTGAGCCATGTCCAAACTTTAAAAGTTTGGTTAGATTTGACTTATTTATACCTACATTTCTACAATTCTTTGTCCTACATTTGATTTACATTTTGATTTACTTTTACGCACTTTATACTTCAAGTTATTTACTTTAACTTGTATTTTTCTATTTCTTTATTCCTTCAGCTTTTTTATTTATTTATTTATTTATTTATTAGTGGAATTAAATAAATAAATAAATCATTATGACCCTCTGTTAAAAAAAATTATCTTAATAATTTGTATGATTATTAAAAATTATGTATAATTATTAAAATATTTAAATATGTTTGTAATCTCTCAAATTTAGGATAAATTTATTTTTAATCTCTTAAATTTAAAATTATTATTTTTAGTCCTTGTAATTTAAAAAAAATTATTTTAATCCTTATATTTACATTTTGTTAAGAAATTTATCAAACATTATTACATAAAATCTATCTATTGGTATTTCTGTTAATGAAAACATCACATTAAATACGGTTGATATTGCATAACATCTTAATTAATCACTTTTAAATATGTTATTGATGACCTAAATGACTAAAATAATATTTTTGAAAATTACAGGAACTAAAAATAACAATTTTAAACTTGAAAGACAAAAAATAAATTTGTCTTAAATTTGAGATATTAAAAACATATTTAAGTCTTATTAAAATTATGTATAATTATTAAAATAAAATAGAAAAGATAAAAGTGGACACAAAAAAAAATGCTTTTATTATCAGTATTCCAGAAAATTTAAAGTGTACGCTTAGACAAAGTATTCCAAAATTATAAGAATTTACTTTTAGATGTAACCGAAAATTTTAAAATTTTAAATAATTAAAATTTAATTTTAAATATTAAATTTTATTTAATAAAATATCAAAATAACAAATTTTGATCCAAAATTTTTTAAATCCCCTCCAATTACACTATAACTTCAATTACACATCGAAACACACGGGTTTGTTACAAAATTTTCATATTACATTCTATAAATATTTTAATCCGAATGTTATTCTTTGAATTTTTTTTTTTAAAAAAACTTGTTTGTTTTCACTCTAATATTTCTTAGTATATTTTTAAAATTTTAAAATAATTTAAATCGAAAATAATTAAATAAATATGTCATTAGCACTTTAGAAAATAATTTTTTTTTTATTTTCATGGAAATATCTCTTCACCACCCATTTATCATAAGAATTAAAATCCCTAAACACATATTAGTATTTTTACCCTCATATAGTTAAAAATCTTGCTGCATAATCTTATAGCAAACAAGAAAATAAGTATTGTTTACACTCAAATTTTCATAAATTAAATATATGGTTTAAAACAACTTTCAATTTCAACTATTCATTTGCTTTATTTTAGATTTAAAAACAAGAGGTGTCACACATGTATATATAAGGGGAATAATTTCTTCCTTCTAAAACTCCATTAAATAATTTTCTCCAATAAATTTTTCTCAAATAATTTTCTTTAATAAACTTTCCTCCAATAAATCTGTCCTAAATATTTATTCCCTCCAATAAATTTTTCATAAATATTTTTATATAAATAAATATTATTATAAACTAAACTACTAATAAAATAATTAAAAAATAAATATACAAAAAATTGCTACTCAAAATAATTATAAAAAATATATCAAAAATAAAAATAAAATTTTTGGATAAAATGATTTCAATAATTATTAATCATTATTAGATTTTCGCAATATTATAAAATAAATATTATAAAATAAACTGTTATAAAAATAATTAAAAAAATATTTGTTTTTCCTTCCCTTTAATAGTTCCTTCCAATAAAAAATTGTAATTATATAATATAATAATACGTTAATATATAAAAAAAATTGTAATAATATCATAAAATATTAATTATATTAATTTATTAATTATTGACGTTTTTGATATCATTGTCAATTGCCTTAATCAAAGGCTAGAATTTCACATCATCAATTATCTTCATCAAAGTGTACAATAAGTTATATAGAATTGGAAACCCTTTACCCTAATATACAAAATGAAAATAAATAATAAGATATAAAAATACCAACAAACATAATGTATCCCCCAATTGTACTACATGAAAACAAGATTTTCATGAGTTTTAACGGCATGGAGGACACAACAATTTAGTCACCTTCCGACACAAACTTGGTATAGAATCACCAATCTGCTTTATAGATGACAATATCTTTTTACCCTTTTGCACCAAATTTATACTTCTCCCTCTATTTATATATTTTCTAATGTATTTTAAATATAAGAGTGATTATCATTTTAACTAAATGTCATCCATAGTCATCTAATCTCAACATGAATGAGTGAATTTACAAAATTCACCACCTCATCAATCAATTTATGATTTTATGATTTCTTTACCATCCCTTCTTCTGCATTTCAGAATTTGCAGACATGTAACCATAAGTGATACAGATCAAAGATCCAATCACCAATTTTCTTACATAAACATATCAGGGTTAAAACAAAAAAACAAACTTAAAAATTTCAATAACAAATATGGATTAAGAAAGATAAAAATTCTGGATAAAAAAAACGAAGATCAATAACTGAAACACATTGTTTTTCCCTTTCGAAATTTTTTGAAGCAATGATATTAAATGTAGCGACTTGTTCGAGGCCATATTCAAAACGAAGAAATTTGATAGGCACGGAGAATCGCAATTGTTCTCGCCAACCTTCAAGGCAAGTTGTGCCACTTTTCATAATCGACGCTCTTGCTCTGCGAATTGGCTTTCGTTTTCAAAACAAAACTTCGAATAACAAAATCATACAAAGAATTTGAACTTTCAGAGAGAAACCCTAACCTAACCCCAATTTTGAAGGCGCCACAGAACGCAGATACTCACGACTGTGGCTTCTGCTGCCTCGCCTTTTATAGATGCCCAAGTGGAACGCTAAACCCTAATTTCGTGTGCGGCCGCGATACTTGTTGTAGCAGTTGGGCTTCATCTTAGGCGCAGTCTGGCCCAGTGGGCTTTTATTGTGGTATTGACATTGAGGTCCTTTATCCAGGTTCCAATGGGCCTAGCGATCAATTTTGTTCAAACCCAAAACAGTAACTCGATAAAATAAAAAAAAAATGAAATATTGGGTGGTTAGGTTCGTTCCTTGTGCTTTCTCATTAATTATTGTCAAACATACATAATGAATTTTAAAATTGTAAGCAAAACGAACGAAACTTGTTATTGGTAAATTTGATCAACATATGAACAAATTGTTTGAGCCCTCCTTTGACATTTTGAACTATTTTTTTTTAGCATTTTTCTTTTGTTTTTGGTAAATGACATTTTGAAGTTTGGTTTAGTTTAATCGAGTGCATGATGCATATGCCATGTCTCATATTGGACATGTGACGTAGGTAAAGGTAAAACTTAAAAGCACTTGAAAGATGAATAATTATCCATTATCATATCATTCGATCATAATAGTGTGTAGATGAAGAATTTTAGAAATTTTAAATTTTTAAAATTTAAATTATTTTGATTTTAATTTTCATTATTTTTAAATATTTTGTTTGGATAAGTCAATTTAAAATTTTTAAATTTTAATCACTAAATTTGGATAAGATAATTTGATTTTCACCATAGATAAAATTGATTTTAAATAAATATATATTGAAATTTTGAGATTAAATTTTATAAAACTAAATATTAGCCAAATTTTAAATATTTAATAATTTTTAAAAAATAATATTAGATAATTTAAATTATCTAGTGCAAAGGGATCAGGTGGTATGCCCCTTGTGCAACTTGTCAACGAAAATCTTCTTACATGTTCTCTTTGATTGTTTGTTTGCATATGCCATTTGGAGGAATATTTATGGATTATTTGGAATAGATACAATGTTGCTACAAAATCTAGTGCAAAATTTTTGGTACATGAAAGGATTTGGGGATGAAAAACTCATGGGAAAAGCATGGTTTGCCATTTGATTAGCATGTTTGAATCACACTAACAAGGGGAGGGGGACAAAGATCCAAATGTGGTCAATGAGCAACAGTATAAGTAAGAAATTGAGAGTAATTTTTCCCTCATGTAATAGGTACTTTATGTTGGTTGCTAGTGTTCATTTCTAATGTAGTTATAATTCACTAATGGAATATGGCAACCAATACCTATAGGGGTATATAATTCTGTTTGTAGCAAAGAGGTATGGTACTGCTGGTACCATAGGTCCTCTATTTTCTATTACTAATATACATTTTTGGTTGTTTCAAAATAAAACATAAGCACATCAAGACATTAAACTAATTATCTTTTTTCATAAAATATTTATTACTATTGTTGCTTTGAAAAGATAAAGAGACAAGTTTTGCTAGAGAGTGATTACTCAATTTGGAATTAATTTTTAAATTTTAGCATATCATGCACATTGATAGAAATTTCAAAACTATGTGTATTGATTAATGTAACGACTCGCATTAAGTCGTCACATCAACAAACAACTGAACGACACATAAGAATAATATATAATAAAGAAAAGAAAGAGCAAATGCCAACTACACTAGAGTGAAAATATTTCAAAACGTGTAAATTGTTTTCAACATATAAAACATAATTTTATAAAAGAGTCATTATCAGTAGGGTTATATAGTCATCCAAAATAATATAATTACAACATCATGAAAATATCAAAATAAGACACCCTAGGTGCTGGTCAAACTCTAAGTCTAGTCACTTCTCAAAGCAGCTACCCAAAATACTCCTTGTCATCCCAAAGCCTCACACCTGATCTGCTCCCCCACATAGTGAGATCATCACAGTCCACATCATGGAAATATAAGGGTTAATGTGTATAAAACCAACCATAGTACAACATAATGAAATATCATCAAAACAGATATTCATCAACAACTTTTATCCATACCAATGGAATGAAAACATTATAACATGTTTATCTCCATGCGAATATAAACCAAATCCAAAATCCAATGTATACACATCCATACCAATGCATACATATTCCATATCCAAACAAACGTTACATCGTTGTATAATCCCATGAAGTAGACAACACATCCAAACCAAATGTTGTCCTCAACACATCCAAACAAAGTGTTGAATTTGTGAACATGTCACCTGCCCATGTCACACACCTAACCTCTCATGGAAAATATACAGTTGGATTACATCGTCATGTAACCCTGGTGATCTTGGTCACTTCATCCATCGGTATGACTCGGTCTTGTCCTCATACCGGTAGCAAATAGAATACTTAGAGGAGTACTTCAGAATCCACCTAACATCTGAAGTGGTTTATTATATAATCTTTGAAAAAGTTCCATATTGGAATCCTCACCATGGGATTCCCAAATTCCATATTTTCCCAAAGATTATATCCAGATCTCACCAAGAGATCTCCCAATCCATACCATAACCTTACTCCTCTAAGTCCTATTAGCTTTCCAAACCAAACACACATAAGCACATTCCATAATTACATGCAATCTTTTTCCATAATCATGCCACATTCCATACCAAGTATTAAACATCAAAGATGACATGATTCAACATTTAAAAGTTTCATAAAAAAACTTAATTATAAAGGTTTTCCTTAAATAGACCACACGTCCCGTGCATTCAAACCATGCCCGGCGCAAAACCCAAACAGAGACCTACATAGGTCTCAGCGCCCGGCGCATTTATCCTACGCCCGACGCAATTCCAGACAGAGACTCTCAATGAGTCTCCATGCCCAACATATTTATCCTATGCCCAGGCAATTCCAGACAGAGACTCCCAATGAGTCTCCGCGCCTGGCGTGCTTAGATCACGCCCGGTGCCATATCAACAACCAAAACGCAAGGCCCACGTCTGCTAGCACGCTCGACGTGGTTCTCTTCACTCCCGGCATGGTCCATCCAAGGACTTCCCACTTCAAATCGCGCTCGGCTCAACTAACCTCGCGCTCGGCATGATTTGACAATGGTGGTCCTGATGAATTCACGCTCGGCGCCATGAATTGTGCCCGACGCATTTTACACCAGAAACCCCCGAAAACCTCGAAAATTTCTTCCCAACATGAACCCAGTCCAAATTACATGAGTTAGAACCATTATAAAGCATAATCACTATCCAAAAACAACATAATAAGCGATAAAATCAAGTCTTAACCATTAATCCATGGAAATCATGAAGAAACCCAACCAAAACCCTTTCCACTCAATCCAGCCGTAATCATGCATAAATCAAGGAATCAATGTGATATTTCAAACACATACATACTAGATTAAGCCTTATAAGTATTACCCTTACCTTAGAAACTTCATAAATTCAATATTTTGACAAAACCCTCAAATCCCAACTCAAACGTTAATCCCCTTTTTCAAGGCTTTAGAGGTTAAATATCTTGAAAATCTAGTTGTGAAGAGTGATCCTAGGTTGAAAAGCTTTCCAAATGTGTCCTCAGCTTCCCTCCGGACCAGAGCCTCTCTCTCTACTTCCTCTCTCTAGAAACTATCTTTGTCTGACAAATGAGACCCTCCGGTCTTAAGTCCTTATATATAGCCATTTTCCAAAATTTTCAAATTTCAGCCTTAGTACCTATTCACCTCAAATATATTATTCCTTGCAATATTTCAACTTCCTAGGCTCTAAAACAACCTTTAATTCACTCAGAAAGACCAGATTTATCTTAGGTTCCTATCTTTCAATCTCCTACCCATTCTATTCCTTCCCATTCAATACTCACAACTCACCACTATATGAAATGCAACATGTATTAACATGTAAATAAACATCACATTCATATACATATTCTTGGAATAATGAGTTGCATGTCATAATACTTCACTTAACTAAGATGAGAAGGAAGGTGATCAGTCTTCTTCCCTCTTAGTACCAATTCAATATAATGGTGTACAGTGCATCATTCACCACATTCATAATACACATGCCTATATAAACACCTCAAAACAGCAATATCTCATCGCATACTACAAAATCACTACCATGTCCAAACAACTAATCAAAACCACATAATTATACAACATGCACAAAGATAAGTACATTTCAAATCCACACCTCCAGAATCCATTTTTTCTTCGAAATGAGTTTGATAATTGTGTTTATAGTAGGAAGCTATCAGATGCTTCTTATATATATATATATATATATATATATATATATATATATATATATACATATATGTGTATACATAAAGTATATCTACTAAATAGCTCGATATTCCCATGGTGTTACAATTAAAAAATTATTAAAATTTGAAATTATTTCTATTTAATTTATCTTATCAATTGTTATCAAGTGTATAAAGTTATACATTATTGGACCCTTATTAGACCTTTATGTTTAATCTAATAAATTTTACGCTCAAGATGCGTAGTACTCAATATGAGGTATATGTATTTGAGATCCTACATTAATTAATGACATGGTCAAAATAAAGTATATAAGTGGAAACATTATTCACTTTATATAAGTGAGTTTAACTCAACTCTACAAAATTAATCTATAAGATGATGATTATTCTCACTTAGATACTTTATTTTGTTTGTACCATTAGTTGATTTGAGATAACCAATATATGTTGGTATTAGAGCTGTCAGAACATATTATTTGTCCGATTTGCAAACCAACAGGTGAAAAGCTGTTTAATCCGACCTAAATTTTATATGATCATGTTTTGGTTCGCCTAGCCCATTGGAACCAAGTTAGATTTAACTTTTTTTATATAGTTTTATATGTATTTTAAAATAATAAA